CTTTTTAATTTCTAGATTTTAAAAATTGCACTTCTTCTAAAGAGCGAGAAAAAAAATCAAAGGCGCTTTGAAACAGGGGCTCCCTGTGCAAGGGTGAATAAGTGTATGTCTTTCCATGTGTGTATGCTGGTAAACAGTCAGATTTATTTATATTTTTTTTGCAAGCATTGAATAATCTAAGTTTTAAATATTATTTATCCCTATCCGTTCGTATTTATATTAAAGAAATTCTGTACCCTGATTGTTCAGAAGGTTTCTTGGGCCTTTTGTTCAATGGTGTATTGGCGTACATAGAAAAAAATGTATTTGAAAGGGAAATATAGTTCCTTTATAAAAATGGTAATGATGCAATAAAAACCCGAGAGGATCCAGCTTTTGGAAAACAGTGATTTTAGGTTTGTAACATCTGGCGAAACTGAAAAAAAATCGGTAAAAGTGAAAAAAAAAAGATTTGTTTTAAAAGTTCTACATTCCTTGCTGCTCACATTCTGAGACACAAAAGAAAACGAAAAAGAAATAAAAGTTTTTATTCTGAATAATATCCGTGTTCCAAAAGGGTTCTTTGGTCTTAAGATGGGGGTCTGCTTGGAATTCAGGCAGATTGGAGCAGGCCGCTTCCGAGTGGGCTCTGCCGTGGGTTCTGGTCAGGCAGCCGGCAGGCTGGCCCAGAGAGCCGCGCAGTCTTGGAACGGAGGCCCAAGCGAGTGGCGTGCGCCCGGCCCTGCTGGGCTGTCTGGTTCGCAGCTGCCGCCGAGGCCAGCCTAGGGCGTAGGGCCTGCGGAGTGAGGGCTGCGTTGGGGAGAGACAAAAGGCGGCCGGCCCCAGGCGCGGTGGGGGGACGCACAGGTGCCCGCCCGCGGCCTCGCCGGCGACAAGAAAGGCCCATCTTCTCTACGTTCTTCCTCGGCTCAGAGACAACCTGTCCACGCCTTCATCTGGGAAATATCCAGCCGAGAGAGCGAGTGAGGGGTGCTGAGCATTTTCTGCGAGCAATCAAAGGAGACTTCTTGAAGTCCATGATCGTCCTAGGATGAAGGAATCAGTCCAAAAATCATCGCCGGGAGCAAAGCAGTTGGGAAGGGACTGGGGCTCACCCAGGTCACCAGCAAAAAGGGCGGGGGACTGGGGACTCCCCGCTAAGCTCGGTAGCATCCCGGCCTACCAGAACTCCAGCATGGGTTTCCTATCACAATTTAGTATTTGGCATCTAGTGGATTTATACCTTCTCCTTCCCTCTCCGCTTCCGTTTTATGGCCCCAGAGGGAGGAGGAGAGAGAAAGGAGATTGGTATCTTTCTCATAAAAATGCAATTTTATAAGTACTTCTTTCATTTGATGCTACAGGAGCTAAATATTACATTTGCACTCCTGGATTTAAGATAGGGTTGCCTGCAGACTGCAGGCTGGCAGAGGCAAAGGCAGACAGAATAGAGGTAGATATTTTCATCTTCAGATTAAGGATTTGCTCAGTGAAGCCACCAAATGTAAGAAATGCAAACCTCAGATCTGCCACCCCACCCCCATCAGCAGCCCCCTCAGAACTGGAAGGGAAGGGCTACCTTGCATCTGGGAATCAGGAGCATCAGCACCTCCCTCCCCCTTTCTCCCTGGATTGTATCTTTCAGAGGCAGAGGTGAAATATGTCGCCATTTTGTTTGCAATCCAAAATATCCATCACCATGGCCTCTATCTTCCCCCAGAACCCCTCTTAGATGCTGCTGCTTCTAAGAGGCACCAGAGCCACTTCTAGCTACCTGCTGGGCCTGCTGAGCTGCTTTAGGGACCCTCCTCAAGTTTTAGGAGAAAGAAGACTTGGAAGATGCAAAGCCAGGCAGCTGCAGAGAGCTTCCTCACATCCTCATATATATGCTTCCGCTTCATGTGTGTACAAAGAGTAAAGAGTTTGGGCTATGTAATAGATGGATTCCTCCCCACCCTCCACCGCCCTCGTGAAATCTGGCACACATCAGAAATGCCGAGATTAGGAACCAGTCTTTATGAGAACCGGAGCTTCCACCTCTTTGGTTGTTCACACCGAGCAGACACAGAATCTTTTCAGTAATCATTTTAGAATCGTGTATAAAATTACCTGGGAAAACATGGACAGTGTCTCTGGAGAAAGAGAGAGAGAGAAATCCATCATCCAGGGAAGAAATCTTTCAGGGACACCACTATTTGAGCCCATGTCTAAACGCCATAGAAAGGCATGGTTTGGGGGCTTCCTCCTTCCCTCAGGGTAAGATTTGAAAATGAAATTCTAATATGATTTCCTGCCTCTTGCCAATCAAGAGATCATTTTGGCTATTAAAGAAAAAATATGGATCTCACTTCCAGCATCCCAAATATTTAAAAAAATCCCTATTAAAATATCTTCTGAGTTAAAGCAATAGGTTTGGGGAGGAGAGATTTCAGTGTTGAGTGGTCTGAGAGAAAAAGATTTTCCTCCAGATGGGATTTGCATTAAGGCTGCTGCGTCAGGGCAGAAAGCTCTCTCGCCCACGCAGCTCCTGACAAAGCCTCCGCGATGCGGGGGCAGTTGCTCCCTCTCCACAGCCTTCTTTCTCTTTAACCCATGGGGAATTTTTGGTAAAAGCAAACGCCAAAAGTCACCACCCCAGAGCCCGGAAAAGCCCCCTTCCTAAAAGCGCCCCTCAAACCCTTTCCACTGGCAAAATTTTATCGTTAAAAGAACCAGTTTTCCTTGTTTACTTGCGTTTCCTGCTTGCCTCTTTGCTCGGCCACATTTGATCTTGGAAAGAGCTGGAAGCTGAAATGTGTTCTTAAGGGCCAGAAGCTGTCAAGGCTTTTCGTGAGCAAGATTGATCGCGCCCAGACTTCCTTCGGAGCTTTGTTTGGAATAAAAGCAAGAAAACTGGGGAAAAAAAAAAAAACCTTCACATTTTCCAAAATAGCATCTCTATCTGTAAGGCATGCTCTGGGCTTGTAACCAGTAGAGGTTCCGTTATCTCTAATTTACAACCCCAACCACCTTTGATGTTTCCTGGGTGGAGTTTTGCCTTCACTCCTTGGTCAGCTTTTCTTGTTTTCTACGTAGATTTTCCTCGACACCAACCTCTCTCTCTGGTCATCAAAATGATTTATTTTCCTGCCAGGATGCCTGCCTCCTGCCTGGGGGAGTCTGATCACTTGGTCCATTTCAAAGGAAGCAAAAAAAAAAAAAAAAAACCAACCAAAAAACCGAATCGCCATCCTCAAGGTTTTTGGGGTAAAGAGGTACCTTCCATCTCTCTCTGTGTGTCTTTCTCTCTCAGCCTCCTCCCCTCTTTCTACCATGGTGGATTAAAAAAAGCAAACCAATGTTGTCTGGTACCTAAAGGTGTTATCTCTTGAACCCTCCAGTCCAAGAATGCGCTGTCTCAAGTCTCCGAAATTGAAAAGAGAGGAAGGAGCAAGAGAACCTTCTTAATTCCTCCACGGGTTGCCTTCTTTCGCAGCGGAGATGCGTCCCGCAGGGTGCAAACATCGCCCGGTGTCCAAGGATCAGCAAGGTGCGCAGGCAGTCCGCCAGCCAGGGTGCACTCGCTGCATCTCAGCCGACCAGCCCCCAATCAAAGCGACAAGGACAAGAAAGGGAGAAGAAAGAGGAACCAGCGCCTTCTCCCTCCCTGCTGTTAACTTCCACCAGACTTCCTGGAAATCGGAAATACTTACCGAGACCGAGCCCTAGGGGTATGAAACCCAGAATGCCAGGAGCCTGCACACGCCTGCTCGAGTTGGCATTTCTTTGGCTGACCGCCGCCCTGGCTACGGGGATTTGGACACATGGACCTAGGGCTGTTGTCTCTCTTGGCACAAGCATCTATCTTTCTGGAGCCACTCCTGAGAAGTTGATGGCGCAGGAAGGTCGGGAAGCTAAGAGAATCGCCTCCCCTCTTCCGCTTCCCGCTGGAGCCAGATGCAGAGCAGCCTGGGAAACTAACAATAGGCCCCGGCCGGGGGTCGGGGGCGCTGGGCACAGGGAGGGGGCGAGGGGCTGCGGGGAAAGGAGGGGGGTGAGAAAGAGAGAAGGAGGAGAGAAGGCGGAAAAAGGCAGAGAGAGAGAGAGAGAGAGAGAGAGCAAGCAGTTCTGAGATATCCAGGAACTGGTGGAGAAAGGGTGGAAGAGGAAAAGGGAAGAAAAACGGAGAAGGGGGGGGGGAATAACCTCGAAGAAAACCTTTCTTCTCTGTCCTTGGTCCCCTCTCTTCCTTCTTCTTCCCTCTTTCCATCTCTCTCTCCCACCTCCCTCTTTCTTCTCCCCTCTCCTCCCTCTGCTCCTTCCTCTTGCTTTAGCAGAACTTATGTGACTGGGATGCGGGCCCTCAGGTGTCAAAACTTTGAAGATTAATGGATTACTTTGTTAATGACTGCAGGCGTCAGACGGAGGTGCTTAAATGATTTGTGAGGTGCGAGGCGTCTTCCCGACAGTCCCAAACAATGTGCGGAGTGTGCGGGGGAGGCAGAGGGCAGCCGGCGGCGGGACCAGCCGCAGGGCGCCCACTCGCTCCCACTCCGCCGCTCACGCACACACTCCTGGGCGCTCGCAGCGTATCCTCGCCCGATCCGAGGGCGGGCAGGCCCCCTGGCCCCCACGCACTGTGGGGCATCCCCACCCACACCCACATATATGTATTTTTGTCCTGAAAAAGTGTAAATAAAGCCTCGCTGGCCCCCAATGAGGCGTTCCTTCCTGACTTTTTTGGATCAATCAAACAGACAGTGGCTTCTTTTGATTAAAGCCCAAATTGTCATTGGGCAGAAGCAATCATGTGACAGCCAATTCGGTCCAATTTCAACCTTGTCTCCGTGAATTCAATAGTTTAATAGTAGCGCGGTCCCCATACGGCTGTAATCAGTGAATTAGAAAAAAAACACCCCAGCAGCGATCTTCTATGATAGATTTTTTTCCCCTCCGCGCTTGCCTTTTTCCTGGGCCTCGCCCCCCCAAGGCCCCTCCAGAAGAGGGAACTTTTTCTCCGAGGGGGCTCCAAGGAGAAGGCCATGAATTACGAATTTGAGCGAGAGATTGGTTTTATCAATAGCCAGCCGTCGCTCGCGGAGTGCCTGACATCTTTTCCCCCTGTCGCTGATACATTTCAAAGTTCATCAATCAAGACCTCGACGCTTTCACACTCGACACTGATTCCTCCTCCTTTTGAGCACACCATTCCCAGCCTGAACCCGGGCAGTCACCCTCGCCACGGCGCTGGCGGACGCCCCAAGCCGAGCCCCGCGGGCAGCCGCGGCAGCCCGGTGCCCGCTGGCGCGCTGCAGCCGCCCGAGTACCCCTGGATGAAGGAGAAGAAGGCGGCCAAGAAGACAGTGCTGCCGCCCGCCTCTGCCGCCGCCGCCGTCGCCACCACCGGCCCTGCCTGCCTCAACCACAAAGGTCAGTCCAGAGACTTGGCCCCCAAGTCCCCGGGACCCTCTTCCCCCCTCGGACTGCCCCGAGAGCGGCCATGGGGGAGGGGAGGGGAGCGTGGGCTGGGAGAGAAGGGAGAGAGATGCTGCGATGCCTTGTCTCTTCCCCTGTGGGTTTGCTGGAGAAAGCAGGACTTCACTCCACCATGAGACACTGATATTTTTTGAGGGAGAGGGGGGAAAAAACTTTCCCTAAGTTGTGTAACGTGGGGTGATTTATTTGAGTTGGGACTGACCTCCTCTTGTCTCCTTGTCCTGGAGTTTGCCTTTTTGACAGTAATGAAGAGTGATAGATCGCTCTTGCTCAGCTAAGCAGCTGATGCATTAATTATAAATTGTGGTGTGGCTAATATAAAGTTTGCTCCCGGGTGGAGAGTTTGGGGATGGGGGGAAGGGCTACAGGCAGCAATTTGATGGAGGTTGAGGAGCTGGGGTCTCCCCGGGCTGGGCTCCCAGCACAATAGCTCTGCTGCATCCAGGGGCGGCCATTTTGTTGCAGTTGATGTTGTCTGCTATATTTATTCTCCAGTGGAATAACCCTGCTCGAACCCTTCCACCTCCAACTGTGCGTGTGTCTCTGGTTGGTTTCCCTTTCCGCAGACTCCCTGGAAATCGCCGATGGCGGCGGCGGGGCCTCCAGGCGCCTAAGAACTGCTTACACCAACACGCAGCTCTTGGAGCTGGAGAAAGAATTTCATTTCAACAAGTACCTCTGCAGACCCCGCCGGGTGGAGATCGCAGCCCTGCTGGATTTGACCGAGAGACAAGTGAAAGTGTGGTTTCAGAACCGGAGGATGAAGCACAAGAGGCAGACCCAGTGCAAGGAGAACCAGAACAGTGAGGGCAAATTTAAAGGCCTCGAGGACTCAGAGAAAGTCGAGGAGGACGAGGAGGAGAAGTCGCTCTTTGAGCAAGCCCTCAGCGTCTCCGGGGCCCTTCTGGAGAGGGAAGGTTACACTTTTCAGCAAAATGCCCTCTCTCAGCAGCAGGCTCCCAATGGACACAATGGCGACTCCCAAAGTTTCCCAGTTTCGCCTTTAACCAGCAATGAGAAAAATCTGAAACATTTTCAGCACCAGTCACCCACTGTTCCTAACTGCTTGTCAACAATGGCCCAGAACTGTGGCGCTGGCCTAAACAATGACAGCCCCGAGGCCCTGGGGGTGCCCTCTTTGCAGGACTTTAACGTTTTCTCCACAGATTCCTGCCTGCAGCTTTCAGATGCTGTCTCGCCCAGTTTGCCAGGTTCCCTGGACAGCCCCGTAGATATTTCAGCTGACAGCTTTGACTTTTTTACAGACACACTCACCACAATCGACCTGCAACATCTGAACTACTAAAAATATTAAAGCAAAACAAAGCATCACAAAAAAACAAAACAAAACCCCCGTTTGGCCAGGTGGTTTGGCCTTCTTTCATTCTGGGAGTTGATTTCTTTCTTTCCTTCCTCCATGACCTCCTTCCTTGAAATGTTGAGGATTTTTCTGTTGAGTGAGTCCCCTTTGGCTCCGCTTCAGAGCCATCTTTTCCAGATTATTTTGGCGTTGTCCTGATTTTAAGCCCAACCCAGTCACCCTCCATGTGATTTCCTGGAAGCAATATATGAGGCCTGCAAGAAAGTGATCACATAATTGTAACCTCACTTTCTTTTTATTTTTGTATTACAGTAGGATGCATTGTCATGCGTATTTTTGGTAGAATAAATTCTCCTTTGCTACAAGTAGCTTTCTTATTTTTTTCTTCCCTTCTTGCTCATGACTCGTAATGGTTTTTCTTCTTTTCGTCTAACTGAACTTGGTAAATAAAGTTCTGGTCATGGTTTATCTTCTTTTCAATTCTAATATATTGATTAAGGGGCATGTTTAAAGTCTTTAGATAGAGACAACAACAACAAAAGAAAGCCAGAAAATGGCTGGGGCTTCTGAGACATGTTTTTGTTTTGTTTTGTTTTGCTTGGGTTTGGAAGGGAACAGCTTTGTTGGTTCTTAGTGTAGACGTTCAAGCCATAGATGTAGATGGGCGATAAAGGATGGGGCAGGGAGCAGGGCCAAACTGAAGCTTTTGAAAGTGGAGGGAAAAAAGTGCCTATAGAAACTGGCCACTCCAGGAACCAGGGACGTGGGGTTTCTTTAACAAACTACTAGTCTCCAGGTCAATAGCTAAGTTATCAGCAATCCATTTATTTATACACGTTTGTTTCAGACATCTACATTCCAACCCCTCCCCCCACCCCCAACTCCTGCACAGTTTCAGTGGTTGATTAGTCTCTCAGCTGTTGATGGGTCCAGGCAAACAGACCTAAAAAAAAAGGAGAGAGAGAGAGAGAAACAAAAATAAAACAAAACAATGGTTACTGGCTAGAAAGTGCTCTGCACAATGGTTTTTCTTCAATCCTCTCCTTCAGTCATTCTAGGATTTCCCCCCCTTTTTTTAAAGGGTCAGAAAAATCGTATTTCATTCTTAAACTTGTTTACATGGCAAATAATGGATCATTAAAGCTTTGAAGTCAGGTTAGCAAGTTGAGATTTAAAACAGTGTGTTTCTGCACCCTAGGTTACAAATTAACCCAATTTCTAGAGAAAGGAGGGAAAAAGCACTTTAAATGGAATATCAATAAAATATGATCTAGGGTGTGTTCTTGGGTTGTGCTGTGTCTTTTTGCACATTTCTGACGTGCTCCTAAGCGGATTTCCCTCTTGCAGAGCCAGCCCTGACCTGATGGCTATACTTACCGTGAGAAAATGCAAGGCTAAGCAACATGTGTGGGGGCGGGTTGATCTAGTAACCCAGCTTTTAACTGCAAAGGCTGGGAAATGACAATGAAATCGCGGTCTTCCTTCATGCGTTTGCGCCCCACTTTCCCCGGCCCCTTCACCCCCGAAGTAGTGTCTGCGCGGAGCTGAGTGGGGGGCCCAGGCCGGTTTCTGGCCCCAGGAGCGGCGCGGAGCCTGGCGGCCCAGCCCGGCTCGGGCTGCGCTGCTGCTGGATGCGATTCGCCCTACGCTCATAAATCAAACGCTTTCTATGAATGAGAATGTCATCAAAGAGATCAATTGCAGGAACACATGCACAAATAAAAATCCTCTTACGTATTTGCCGGGGATCCCCGTCCGAAAGCATTAAGTTAGAAGGCGTTTAGTCATAATTCATTTTTATTGCTCTTTTAAAACAACAGCTTAGCTGAGCCGCGGATGCCAGGCACAGCTCTGAGCCTCAGCGGCGTTTTGCCTCCTCGCGGCTTTCCCTTTCTGGTGGAGGAACCTGAGCCCAGGGAAGCGCTGGTGGGAGATTACTGTAATCATGATCCAGCTTTCCTTTCACCCACCGGTTCCCGGCCTTTAAAAAGGCCTTAGCTCGAGTCTGGGGCGCCGGCTGGCCTGCGCGCCTGGCCTGGGTGCCCAGAAGGCCAAGAGTTCTCTGCCGGGTGGAATGGGTCCCAGGATTTCTTGGAGGGGGTGGAGAGATGGGGAAGGATCTGAGTTAAGGCAGGCTACCGGCTCGAGACCAGCGGAGGCTGCCTTTGTGAGCCACCCGCGGAGAAACGCGCTCCGGGCGGCCGGCTGAGGAGGAGCCGGCTGGGCGGAGAGAGGGGGAGAGAGAGAGGCCGGCCCACCGGGAGCGGAGCGCGGGAAGGGTCTTTCTCGGCCCTTGTGTCTGCAGGCTGTGTGCAAGTGCACGCCTGTGACCCTAAAGAAAAGTTGGGGAGGGGGGTACCGGGGGGGGGGCATGAAAAGGCCAGGGGAGAGAATGAGGCATGGAGCGAAGGCAGCGGGAAGGCCCTGTTGCTAGCAGAGGAGGGTGCGCGGCTGTGGCCGGATGCCCTGGGACGGCTTGGGGTCTAGCAGAGTCCTTCGAGGAGGCCAACAAGGGTGTAGAAGGAGGCCAGGGACGAGGACTTACTGTACCCACCCGGAGTTTAGGCCTGGAAAGCAGACAGCCCGCGCTGCCAGCTCGGGTTCCCCCCCACCCGCCCAAAGCGGCTCCTGCCCTCTCCCCATTCTGCTGCAGGTCTGCCCTGCCAAGGAAGCCACCTCCAGGAGGGCCGCCATACCTTCTCCCTTACCTTTCCTGCCTAAGCCCGCCTCCCCACAACCGTGAGTGGGAGGTGCCAAAGGTCACAGTAATACCATTTCAAAAGGAAGTGACTGGGGTTGGGGGGGGGGCGACTCCTCTTTACCAAGGGAGTTCTAAGCCAGAGGTCTGCAAAGGGGTTCCCTAATTGGGAGGGGGGTGGGGGAAGGAGAGACTTCAGAGTGAGTCTCTAAAGGAGAACAACACAGAAGATCCAAAAGGTGGGGAACACTAGCGAAATGTACCCGCCTCAATAAAACGTAGGGTTTTATTTTCTTCAACCAGGAGGGGCGGGGAAGCAAGAGGTGGAGGTGAGAACCCCAAACCCACATGCAATCCGCACCAAACTTCTCATTTGTTAGATTTGATGCTGACAACCCGGAGTAAAATCGATAGCGCAGCGGCTGCCGAGTTTCAGGGATGGTCTCTAGGCTGTTTCTACCTAAGAATGCTGCGCCAGTTCTTGGCCTCCCTTTGGCCTTTTCTCTCTACAAGTACAGGGGTGACGCCAAACCTAATAGTAAAAAGCAATTAACGACCCCATCAGCATCAGAGCAGGATGAGGGTGACGGAGAACAGGACCCTGGCCTGGGATGACGCACAGCTCTGCCGTATCTCTAGGGAAAGACCTGAAGGCTAATGCCGTTAGAAAGGGGAGGGGGTGTTGCTGGGGAAGAGGTGAGTGTCCCGGCCACCATCAGCCATCTGTCCACTGCCCCTCCCACCTGCCAGCCCCCACTCCAGACCTGCAGTAGAATGTGGGGGTGGGTGGGGGAAGGAGGCGCTCCCACCCACACTCCTAACACTCCCCGCCCCCAAAGCAGAACGTGGTGGGGGAGGGAAGCTCAGCGTCCTCAGTGCGGGAGGTGGTCCGGCCCTTCGAGGGCCCCGCCGGGACACGCAGGCTCCTGGGTCCCGGGGAGCCGGCAGATGGCCTGCAGCGCGGCCTGGTCCCCACACTGGCCACGTCCGCTAGCGTCATCGCCCTCCCCCGGCCTCCTACCCCCCAAAATCCAGCGGAGGAGTCGCGGGCTCGGGGTCCCGGAGCGGAGCGGAGTGGGGAGGAGCAAGGGGCGGAGAGCCAGAGCGGAGAGCGAGGGCGGAGAGTAGGCAGGCCACGGCGGGCCTTTTCCGGCCATCTCGGCCGCACGGACACCTCCTCCCCCTGCCCGTCCCCTCCCCCGCATCAAATTACCGAGGCTCCTCATTGCCATGCTAATAGCGAGGGTGCGGGGGGCCGCGAGGCCGCTGTAGGCGACCCTCTTCAGAGCCCAGGACTTCTTTTCTAGCCCCATCCTCTCCGCGCGGCACGGGGTTCCTTCCATCAGCCCTCGGCGCCCTCCCCTCTGGGCTAGGAAAGCCGGCGGCTCCAGCTTCGCCTCCGCCATAGTAGTCGCGCGCCCTCCCTCCCTCCTCGGCCGCCCGCCCCCGGGATCCTGGTCCCCCAGCAAAGGACCAGACAGTGAAACTCCCCGGGAGCCGGGCCTACCCCGCC